TCAATCCATAAAAAAAGTGTTTACCACGGTGGGGCCAAACCACCCCTCAAATGTTTTATAAAAGCTAAAAATAAGTATCTTTTACATTTCTTTTCATTTCTTGACCAAACGTACCAGATAGACTACTATTGTTGACCAAGTGATATTAAGTTTTTGTTTGACGCAAAATGTCAAATTGACGGCTGACGTCACCAAAATGGGTTATATGCAGTTTTTAATTTCCAAGTCAAGCTTATATCATCTGAAAGACTTTAGAAGAGGCGTAAAAGAGCAAAAACCGTTTCTGGCTGTGACACGTAAAACCCGAGTTATGGGACTTCAAAGAAATTTGAGTGCACCCCGAAACCATACTATTTTGCCTCCACTGCACAACCGAACACACAAAACAGCACCTGGAGGCATGAGCGCGTCGGTCAGCCAGGCCCAAGAAACACTTTATTCACTCACGTGAGAAACTCCACTGTGACAGTAATTCTAACAACACGCCACAGCCGGACACGTAAACCCGACTGAAAAAAACAAAAAAAAACAAAAAAAACCAACTACTGGAAAAATAGGGACCGTGTAACCCCAACCTATGCTACGGCGTCGCCTTTGGGGTTAAAAGGCAAAACTAATAAAATAAAGCCTAATAACATGAATACCAGCAGGAAACGAGATGCTACATAAAATAGCTAAGAAACATAGGGACCAGTACAGATGGTAACGAAATTAAGACTAACAGAATAAGTGAAAACTAAACTAAACAAAGCAAGATGACGCGGCAAGGCCGACCGTAGAATAACACGCATAACTAAGCGGTCAGTATATCAAACCCCCTAACCGCGATCCCTCGCGCGCTACATTAGAACCCAGTCCTCCGTTCCGTGCCCGCAAAATAATAATTTTACTCAATTCTAATTTAAGCAAATTATATTTTCCTTAAAAACGATCCCTGTGATATTTTTTTCAAAGTTTTCTGCAAAATAGGCTGATTTTCTGGTAACACAAACTCTTTTCATTTGGCAAAATCGCATCATTTTAGATTTTCGTTTTTTGACTCAAAAACACTAATTTAAGCAAACCAAAAAATTGATCATGTGACGTTACAAAACTGTTTTCCTGGTTTTTGCCCAGTCAGGAATTTCTTTTTTCAAATTTTTCTTTTTCGTTTAGCTTTCAACAAAAAGGATGTGTTGTGTGTAACTTAACCCTCGGACGTACAAGCGGGGGTGGATGCCATCCCCATACGGTTTTTCTGAGTTTTTTTCCTAGAGGATAAAACAACAGCACCTAATGTTTTATGTAGCTGTTCGTTCAACCCTCGCGCACATTTTGAGTCAAGTCCAGTGATGGTCAGTTGCTATGGTTACGGAATATGAAGCCATAAGTAGCAGGTGGTCAAGCCAATTTGGGGTGAAAATACATGTTTTTTCAACTTCTTCCAACAATAAATGTAGAATCATGCAAAGCGTTTATTTATGTGTTATTTTTCATGTAAAGCACAAAAATCACCATTTCTCGCGGTTTAAGCCTGATTTCTAATTCTTGATAAAATCCAAGATGGTGGCTAAGATGGCGACCATTGTTGATGATGTCACAGGCCTCCAGCAGCGCCACCACCCCTAAAATATACCTCATCTTGTTAAGAAGATCAATGGCTTTCCACTAAAGGTAAAATCGTTTCAAAATACTGCAACATATCCAGAACTCCGGGGAGGGTTTCGTTCCCCCTCTGGTACCACGGTGGGGGTGTGAATTTGTGGTACATCCGAGGGTTAAATAGCAAGGGCGAGTTGAACAATGGACATTTTTAATGTAGACTTATTTTAAAAGTGGGTTTTTTGTGCTACGAATTTATCCAAATTCAAAATGTCATATCTCAGCTCATATTTAGATACTGGAGAAACTTTTCTAGCTTTCAACTTCCCTTCAATATTTCTATCAAAAACGGTATAAAAAATTGGGAAATTTAAAAGTTTTAAATTCACGTATGAATGACGTCAGCAAATGTGACATGATAATTTGACATTGGTGAAATCCTATAAACCATTTTGATTGGCCTGAAGTTTCGTATTTTCAGGCCAAGTTTGGTAAAGAAAGAGTTAAAGCTTTCAAAGTTATTCTAAATTAACCAAAATTGCACGCTTTGATAATTCCTCTAAGGGGTGGTTTAGGCCCACCGTTTATCTGCCATGGAAACCTTGAAAAGTCTTGGAAATATGCCTGAGAACCTCGAAACGGTGAACTCTGGTCGTTTAGGTAATTGATCTTCCATTTTCCTCGAGAACAATAGCTCCATGACGTCACAACTGTTCGTAAATATAGGGATTTTCCGGACTGGTGACCACATTTTTGAACTGAAGACTAAGCCAACGGTCCGTAAAGCGGGCCGAAAGAAAAACTTGTCCAGGGACGTCTGAGGTCGATAGTACTTGTAGTACTCTACCTGCTTCTTCGAATTTCTTTTTGCGGCCGCTTAACGCTTTTCTAGATTTTTTTCTAGAGTTGCCAGACCTTCCAGAAAATCAAGGAGTTTTCTTAGCCCACAAGAAAGTTTTATGAACAAAACACGGGCTAACAACATATAGAAGTAAAGTTTACAATTTGTAGATGTTGTCTTCACATAATAATATGCAATGCATATGAAGTCTGTTAGACTTCTTTGTTAAATTTTTTTGTTGGCTTTTTTGGGACTGAACGTGCACAACTTTCAATAATTCCTGTCATTGGAACTAACCGACCAATAGAAATTTATTGGGTGACAATTTGTGAACAAAAAACCAAGGATTGTGCACGGTCAGGCACCTTCAAACATAAACTGCAGCACTAGCTGTCTTTTGTCTGTCTTTTGCTGGCTTTCATAAACAGTCTTTTCTCCACTATGGTTTTACATGGAAAAAGCTTTATAAGTTTTTAGATCTCCGCAAATTATAGCCAAGTTATGAAGAGGCTTTTAGCAATTAATGGCTGTCATTTGATCAGTTTTGGAAGCAAGGACCAACCAGGGCCGTACAAAAATGTAGCTACGGAAATTTTCAAATAGGCCATTTGCACGATCTCGTCATTTCACTACTACGACCAGAATTCTTCAGGGTATTGCTTTCTTGTGCAAATTGAGGCTTTTGTTATTTAAACCTCACTGGGATTACCAAATTTAAATATGAAAGGAAAAACGAAATGAATTCTGGTCTTAGTAGCAAAGAGACGTCATCGTGCAAATGGTCCATTTGTAGGTTCCGAAATGCCATATTCTATCCCAGGATTCTACTTATACTACACTAATTCCAGTCACTCTCTGTAAATTAGAGTGAACCTTTCAAATAGTACATATACACGCCAATTTCAATAGGGGTTTTTTTTCTTCCTTAAGCTTACTATTTGCACACACCGTGGACCAACCAATTTCTCGGCCATGAAAATGGCAAACAATTGCAAGTCACTACAATCAAAATAACAGAGTTTAAAGAAGTAAATCCATGCACAGACTTGATTTGCCTGGCTCAACATGTCCAGGGGGGGCCGCTGCTCATAGCTTCCCCCCCCCCCCCCCCTCCCCCCCCCCCCGCTAGCCACGGCTCTGCCAACGTTACAAAGTAGAAGGACTGCATCCTAATAGAGGATCTAATCGGCTGTGAATTAAAATATCTGAACAACGGAAAAAATCAAGGCTGATTTTACAGTCGGGAATGTATATTTTTTGTGTTACCAATAACATTTCGAAAGCCGGACACGGCCTTTCTTCTTCAGAGTCTACATACAAACGACTTGGTCAAGCTAAGACATTACAAAATAATGTAAATACAAATGGAAGGGGGGTATTACATTTTATCTTTTTTCCGTCAAATCACACTCGACTATATTACAAATGCTCCGCCGCCAAATCTCACTCGACTACTACACAATACCGCCAGCTACGCAGGCTACAATTTAACAAGAAAACAGTTGAATTTAGAGTTATTTCCCGAAGGGGGGGTTCCAGTTTTTGCTTTACAAATTTATCTGAATTCAAACTGCGAGGTCGTATATGAGACATAGCAAAAATCTTTTCAGCTTTAAACTCCCTGTTATCAGATCTCTGAGAAAAAAAATTTGGGAGATTCAAAAATTTAAAATTAACGTAAAAATGACGTCAGCAAACATGACGTCATAACTGAATATTTTAAGACATGCTGGCAAATAATTTGATTGGCCTGACATTTTGCATTTTCAGGCCAAATTTCGTAAAGTTATTGTAATATAACACAACTACTCACGCATTGACGCAACATTTAAGGGGTGGTTTGACCCCACCACGATTCCCGACTGTAAAATCAGCCTTGATTCTTTCCGCTGTTCTGTCATTATATCGCACCATTGAATTGATCTTTAAAGACTGAATATTGAAAACACGTGACATGGCCCAAACCGGTCCAAGAATTTCCAAGCATGAATATCTATCGTAGATTTCTAATAGCCTGTTCCCAACGCCAACAACAAATAAAAATACGGTAGGGACTCTGAAAATCAATTTTAGCATTTAAAACACCATAACATTATTTTTTTTACTTTGTTCAGAAATTCGGAACAAGGAGCAATCAATACCATAAAAGTTTCATATGGGAAAAGCAAATGTACAGTTCACCTGTGAGTGTTAATTCTTTAAATACGTAAAGTGAAAATTTTCCCCAGGCACTCTAGTTTGCCTTTCTCAGTATTCTGAGTGGTGCCTTTAAATAAACCAGATATAGCCTACACGCACCGAAAAATGAAATGGGTATCAGAACACCTTATAAAGTCTGTGTTCGTGACGATGCCTATTAACCTTTGCAGTTTGTTTCATAAGATAAGATAAGGCCCCACCTCAACGGAAAATCCATTATTTCGCTAGGTCAGTGATGGTCCTGGTCATTCCCCGCCGCATTGTCTGTTTCACTTTTTTCCTGATTTTTTTCTTCAGAGATCCAGGACAGGAAGATACTGAACACGTCGATATCTCTTATTACCGTTATTATGGTTTGACCGTAAAAAATTTATTGCTCGCGTTCAGAAAATCTGGGCTCGCCAGTGCAAGTAATAAGAGTGAATACAAATTACTTCCATGTTCACTGGGGACGTTTGTTAAAGCCTCTTCTAAAGACCCCAAGTGCCTAGAGTGCCCAGCAGGTAATTTTTCCTTAATTTATGATATGCGTGTTACACATCTTAATCGTAAAGACAAACAAGTACATTTAGAGATCTCAGTCATGATTGTTTTTCTTCGAATGCTAAACATGTACTTACGTACCGTAATATATTGCAAGGAGTTTCTTTGCTCTCTGAAATAATACTCAGAGCACAAAAGTCGACTAGTCATGTAAGAAAGTTTCGAGAACAAAATACATATACCATCAACATTGCAATTTATTTCTTCATGAAACTTATTGCAACTGTAACACTTGCGGTAGCTTCCGAATAAAGCCATTAGACTGTTCTCACTCACGCAAAAACGTAAAGCCTTTGTCAATTCCTGGCTGATTGCAAGTGATTGTGATAATGTGTGAGCAAACCCATCATATGACAGGTTTTTTTTAGAAAAAATATACCGTGCCTTTTAGAACCCTCTTTTCTTCTTGTAAAATGAAACAGTTATACAATGTGAAAGAATTTTATCGGCCAAAATTTATATCAGCAAAATTGCCATTTTATTGACAACAAAGAAATATGTAGTACATTCCTGACTGGATTTGATAAAAAATGGCTAAAGAAATTCAAGTGCATTTTAACAATTTGACATCTAAGGAATGGAAAGCAGTTAAAAGTCACTAGCTGAGACTTAACAATGACACTTTATTGCTGGCAACAGACGGTAAATTTCTCTCGCAGAAGTAACAGGATTTTGCGAAAACATTTGAAACGTCGGAAAAGTATAACATTTTAGTCGGTGAAGCCGTGTGGCCCATAGCTAAGTCTCTGCCGAAAACACTAGTCAAAATTTAAGATCCTCAATCTTTGAGCACAGAATAGGCTTTCTAAGACAAAATAACCTACACTAAACCCTCACGAAGCGTTTTTAAGCTTGGCACAAAGAATAAGGCTTAATGATACCTTCCGGAAAACTTCTATACTTAAGTATAGATACCAAAAAACATTTTACAAGGAAATAAGAGAGATTTACAACATACGCAGAAAAAGAGATAACTAGAACAATAACACGAATAAACAAATAACTAGAATAAATAAGTAAATAAAATTACACCACATTAGATTCAATTTTTAAATTTCATTAATAAAGGGTGTCTATATCGACGTAACTATCCTGTCTTTGAAGCTCGAGTAATAACGAATTGTCTATGTTTTTCCTAAAAGCATGATTTAATTGAGAATTTTCTCCAATTCTTAGGGATACTGTTCCAGATTTTAACCTCCACGCTATCAAAAAGTTTTGTGAATCGGAGTCGAAGTCGAAAGTATTTCCGATAAAAATTACCAGATGAAGGAGATCGGGTGTTATCGGTAGTGAACCTGTCAGTGATCTGTAAAAGTAAAATATATGAGCCAGTTGAAATCGGGGTACTGCGCGGGTAGCTTAGGATGATTTTTTCAACAGATTTCTTATAGGCTACTGACAGTACATTACTTCTTTTTAGTCGTCCGTTGATATAATAAAGTTTAGGCGTCTACAGACTGTTGGTCGATACAAAAATGTACAAACGGAAGGCCGCTTCTAAGGATTTGAATCAATCTCCTCTGTAAAAACTTCCCTGATCATCGCGCTGTCCTTTTGAAGTGATCTATATTTTTTCTTATTTCTTGTTCATGCAGGAGGTTTCTACTCAGACACGCGAGCTTATGTAAATAACAGCTGTCGGCGCTGCAGAAATGGAACTTTTGTCCACTACTCAAAAGCCCCAGGAAAAAGCCCATTTGACTGCAAGGCCTGTCCACAAGGTATGATAACATAACAAAAGTAAATCGCGCGCTCTGATTGGTCAGTTAGCCACTACCATTTGCCCGTGGGTGAACGCCAAGAAACTGAGCTAGCGCGGTAAAATTTAGGCAAATTCAACAAATCTCATCTCTTGACGGTAAAATACACCGATGAAAAGTGGAAGTTGAAGAAAATACTAAGCTGTCGTTTTGAAGGAAAAAAAGACAAAAGATCAAGCGACAAATTTGCCCTGGATGACTTTAATCACTGTTTTCCTCGCGGATAGAATCAGCTGAAGGAAAATCGAGGGAGCGAAGATTTAAGGTACATTTTGTGTGTTTTTTATAGAAGACAAAGTCTCTTTGAAATGTAAATTTATCAATTAGCATTTTGTTATTGACTTTTTGGACAAGCTGATGCTAAATTCAAGCAAATATTTTAGGAAACGCGCCCAAATTCGAGACAGCTTTGTTGCGAAGTTTTCATCATTCACATCGATTAATAGCGGGGCTCCCGCGCGCGCGAAGCGCGCGTGGGACAGAGCCCCATACTCATGGAATATGGTCAACCTCTTTTCGCTTGGTTGTCACGTGACTGACCGAGCGTACGCGTCTACAGATTGTACGGGTAGGGTAGGGGAGACTATCAAAAGGAAGGGAGGGGTGTCTCAGGCGTGTTTTGGCAAGTCCTCATCTTTTATATATGACACTCACAATACGGTCAATTGACAGCTGTCAAAACAGGATAGCCACTGACCAGTATCCCATGACCATATCGCGGGCTCATGTGTCAACCCATCGAGGTGACGTGATTTATTTGGAAGCTGTCCGCTGACCAGTTAATAGTTTTACTAGATTGCGAACAATGTTCAATCATACTTTTTAGCTAGTTTGGGATCGGAGCACAGGAAAACTGATACACATATTGGACATCAATTTTGTGATCAATTGACAGCTGTCAAAACAAGGTATCCGCTGACCAGTATCACTTGAGCGAATCGCGGGCTCAGGTGTCGACCCATCGAGGTGAAGTATTTTTTTGAAGTTATCCGATGACAAGGTACTGGTTTTCAATTGATCGCAGGCTCAAGTTTAATTTTTTTTAAAAAAAATTCATATGAAATATGTTGTGTTTATGTGCCGCACAATTAAAATTTTGATTTCAAACTGACCTCGGACGCGAAAATTCAGTCAGCTGCTACAGGCAGGGAAGACAGTTGCTTTTGACTTTTCTCACCATGTTCACGTGTTGGTCACGTTCTACGTTCAATTTTTATGCTTTGATTGGTCAAAATTTGACAGGTGAGTTCATGCGGAAAATTTAGGCAGCATCTTGAATCTTGAAGCTGAAGCTGACAGAGTTTTGTGTCAACTTGTGATGTTTTTAACTGTCTTTTTCCACTGGATGTACAAAATGAAATTCAGCTGCTATCGGAAGTCTTCTGTTATTCATGGCTAGTTTGTTTATTGGGTTTTTGGTTGAGAAATACGTCACTTGTCAAAGTTGGAAATCCGATTTCGGATGGCATAGTTTTCGTTTTCACCTTGCTTAATGCGTAAGAGGGTTTCAAAGTCTGAAGCGATACTGGCCTTACTTGATACCTTTGAGGAGCTGCATCTCGAGTGGTAAGCCTGAGTAATTATTGTATTTGATGTTTGTTTTTCATTTCTAATTTAATGAAGTCGAGCGTAGTTTATGCGGCTATTTTGTTTACGCACGTTTGTAAGATTTGAGACAATGATCTGACCGAGTATCAGGTTTATATAAGCTTACAGTTCTTTAAAAAGCCTTTAGACATTTTCTCACCGCGAATAGAAAGAACACGTTCCAAAGAATTTTTACTTATAATTCTAACTGTAAAAGAAGCTTTGAGCGATTTTCTTGCCTCGAGTTTGTCTTTGAAAGTAAAAAAATAAACATTCCCCGCAGTTGCATGATATTTATCGTTAAAATAATACTAAAAGTTCTTTGTTTGGTCATGAAATTTGCTTGAAAGGCCGACTAGATACCTTCTCAACATTCTCGGCATTAGAGATACATAATTCCGTTAGCCTGTGGGTTAAAATAACGAGAAAACGAAATGGCATCGGGCGTCCATCTTGGTGCTTCGCGCGAAAACAGAGCAGCAACTCTGCAACCGGATGTGATGTCATAAATCGGTGGATCATAGGTACACGAAACAAGTACCGGGCGCTATTGGAGTCGTGGGCCCCCCCCTGGTGTTCATTCATAACAGTCGTTCAGAGAACGGTCGAAAAACAACAGCTTCAACGCCGGCTGTGCGTCGGCGGATTTCAGTTGCAAGCTAGTGAATTTCTTTTTAAAATTAGTGTTACCTGTTATTCTAAAGGAATTACAGTGAAATTTTCTCATTTCTACTTTACGTTTATTTCAAAAATTGTCACATAAATAACCCTGATAATTATTTCATTTATTTAGTTTTAGCTTATTTTTTAGAGTCTTTTTAGTTGGTGTTTATAGTTGAAGCTACAGTTTTCCCTCAAAGTTTTTACCCTAATATTAAGAGCAAGTAGACAGATACCATTCAGAATAACAACGAAAAACGTTTTGCAATTTACCTGAAGACGGAGAACGGTTGATTCAGCGGAAGAAAAACTCAAAGGGGCGGGCAGATGGCAGCATACATGAACTAGGACCGATGACTCAACTGAAGGCAAATGGAAAATAATGTTTTTCTCTTTTGATTATGTTATAAAAGAAATGGTAAACGTTGCAGCTGTGCAACCATGGAGTCAAGAAGCTAAAGTCGCACAAGGCGATACTCTTACCCTTCTTTCGTGCTTAGCAACCTCCCGCGTGCATCCATTTAACAAATAGATTCCATATTGCCGTGCGTCTGTTCAGGAATAGATAACAGATGACGTCAAAATGTCGTAAAAACAAAGAAGTGGCACACGAGCCGCAGGCGAGTGTGTCACTGTTGTTTTTACCACATTTTGACGTCCTCTGTGATCTACTACTGAACAGACCCACGGCAACATGGAATCTATTTGTTTTATACAATTATCAGAAAAGAAAAAGACCGATACACATACCTGCCTCGAACCGCTTGACCTTTTGAGGATTTGTGCTAGTTTAGGCATTTTTTAAGTCCCAAACCCAACTTTTCATCTTAGCTTCTTCTTTATCTTACTTGTGTACAGTTTCTTCGAAAAGTTTTTCACCGTCTTTTCTTGCTCAAAGAAGAATAATAGCGAAAACATTTTGCAAAACAGC